ACTACTACCCAGATACCCGCGACAAAAGGTGTGCGTGCTGCTGTTACATGACGATTGTAACAACAGCGGTTCGCGACCAGTGACCAGTCCGGTGTCGAATATGGATCGATATGAAGTAACTGCTAGCTTTTCTTCCCTACAATAATACCGAAGGATGTACCCATAGTGCTGACAGTGCTCAACACCACAAAGGCAGAGCGTAATACACAACAGAACAACAAGGACAATCAAGGCTTGTTTGCTGCAACTTTTTAAGTTTAATGCTCACGCAATCATCAGGCAACATGAAGATCGGGTGCCGACCATGCCGGTATATGCCAGGAGAGGGTGGTATAAAAAGCTGTGTGAGACTGTGGGGGCTAGCGCAGAACAAGTATCTCCTAAAAAACCACGGTGTCACCTAAACATGTCTCCACAGCCTCCTGCCCACACCATTCACGTTCACACACCTTGCTCATAACACCCTGCCCACACCAGCCATATCCATTTACATTGCGCTATTATCACACTGCTAGCTCTACAGCCTCCTGCCTACAACATCCACACGCATTGTTCACCACCTCCTGCCCACACCAGCCACACACTCCGCGCTAACACTGCACTGCTAGCCCCTGCCTTCAACAACCACACACTCTGCACACAGCCCCTGCCTAAAACACCACCGCTACTGCGCTAGCCCCCACAGTCTCACACAGCTTGTTATACCACCCTCTCCTGGCATACATGTATATACCGGCATGGTCGGCACCCGATCTTCATGTTGCCTGATGATTGCGTGAGCATGAAACTTAAAGTTGCAGCAAACAAGCCTTGATTGTCCTTGTTGTTCTGTTGTGTTCCCTACAATAATATAATAGACATCGCATGGATATGCGTGCAAGATTGTTTGCTCTACTGCTCTCTATCAGCAGTGCATCCCATCCTGCAACCAAAGATCAACTTGCAATATTCACAGTTGTTACACGCCTCAAACCACTACAGTTCGTTGGTAGGTAAACTGTACACTCATTATGATCACCACTAAACCTAGAGGAACATGTTACTGTTAGTCAGGGCGAATTGAGAGAGTCATAAAATCAGCATGCATCACTATCACTAATCGTAGAGAGTCTGAAAGGCGGGGCTTCCTTAGTAACCTGGCAATCCTTCGTTTCTTGTCCTGAGGAAAGTAAGTTAGTGATACATGTAGATGTACAGTGTAGTAGTAAGTTAGTTACTAGTAACGTTAAAATGAATGCATCAAAATGTTCTTGAGCGTGAGATTCACATGGTGACTAGAAAGGCAACGATTAGCCCACGTCACATGTGTATGTTAGGCCTGTATGTCCGCTGAGGCCAACGGCATGTCACATTGTGTATCAGCAAGAGTCCATAACCCCCTGGGATTATTGCCTCTCTGATAATCAGTGTAAATGGCGATGCAGAGGCTCAGAGAGGCGAGATTGGTCTGGAACTGGCTCGACTCCACGGCTGCTAGTCTAGTGTGGAATCTTGTGTTCTAATAATACAACAGTTATTCAGTTCTGTTTGAGTTGAGCTTCATGCCATCAAACCTATGGCCCAGGACATGTGGGGCGTTGCCAGTTCCAATCAGCTCGTGTTAATTGTGTTCACTTCTCGCCATCTTAACGGGTATAAGACCGGGTAGGAATTAACTTTAGACTTTACCGGTGGTGTTCTAACTTCTTAGTCAATGATCCGGTGCGTAATGCGCAACAGACACTCCCAGCTAGTCCCACCACTCGGTAACAATTGTCTGTCTGATTTTGTGCAAGGAGCCACCTTCAGGCAATCTGGATTATTTCTGCTCTATATTTTTAAAAGCGCTTTGATGACTTTTGACATAAACATAATTGTTACTATTTCTGAACGATCCTTTTTTACTACCGGCACCCCTCAGCACCCCAAGACTACAGGACGTGTGCAGATATATTCATCATGGAGGTGTTTATGAATCAATGAGGAGACATCACTGAACGCGGTAGAGTTTCTGCTCTCTCATTTTAATTATACATCTATTTTTAACTACGCTTTGATGACTTTTGACATGAACATAATTGTTACTATTTCTGAATGATCCTTTTTTTACTACTGGCACCCCTCAGCACCCCAAGATTAGAGGACGCGTGTATATGTAGTCGTGATGAATCAATATGAGGAGAGTCGTCAGACTCGTCACAACTACTGGTAAGTGGTAGACCCAGGAGATAAAAGAGCGTTCAGATGTGACCCTGACAAGTGTCATGTTTTCCTTGATGGTCTGCATCTGATTCATTGGTCTACTACCTGTATGCCAAGGCAATGTCAGGATAATAATCATACTCTATAGAACAGAACGTCACAATCATGACGTAACACGCGCTGTCCATTTATGACGTCTCATAATTTACGTCAAACCTTTCGGGTCTGCCGAAGGAAACCGATTGATTCTTCCCATCTACCAGTGCGATCTACCAGTGCGATCTGGTACACCGTATTGCCGATCTCTGCCCTCCAAACAGAACCTCTGGATTTTATCGAGTTTATTGAATTGGATTCTAGAGGTCGTAGGCTGTTCATCAGTTTCAATCTGTTTGACTGACCACCGAATTGGCGCCTGCATACATGTACATGTAGTTCCAAATTGGATGGACATACTAGGGTATGGTACTAGCGACCTTCCACACTTTCATTGTACAGTACCGGTAAACAGCTACATGTACAATCATGTTGTTAGATTGACAGACAAGGTTGATAGTTTTGAACTACAGTGTAGTATTGGGTTATATTATAATACCATGTACATGTACACTGTACAATCATGTACATTGAGTCCTAGATGTGAAGAATGAAGGTCGAAATCACCGAGGGATCGTGTGGTGCCGTGAGTAGACGGCGGTAACCATGGTAAGAATAGTGCTCCACTCAGTGACGCTCCTCTTGGCTTGTGCGAACGCAACCATAACCAATAATTGTAGTCTAGGTTCTGGTACAGGTTTTTGAACTGTTCGTTTGCTTTCGGAAAGGGTGCAAGATCTGGACGCGTGTGTATTATTTTGCAGTGCATCACTGCATGTATGCATGTATGCATGTATGCATCACTACATGTATGCATGTACGTGTACGTGTACAGTGCCAGCACAGTTGATTTGTTGTAAATTTATAATAGTTGACAGGTGACAAAAACTCTATAGCGTACATGTATAAATGCACTGCTTGACTGGGGGATTGACTGGGGGCTAGGCCAACTATACATAGCCGTACTCTTTGGAGCTATTTCCGTACACAAAATGAAAGAGATCTGACGTGAAGGCAACTGGGGAGCTAGGTTCATCAATCATGCTCTTCGTCGAATACAACATGTACATGCCATTGTACACAATTGTGCTACTTGTATTTTCAATGGACATCCTCTCCCAGAATAGAGAACTGTCGCAGGGTGCTGACTGCAAACGTGACCAGTCTCTACTGCAGTGAGCCATTACTTCTCCACAGCTACATGTAGCATGTACGAACACAATGCATTACAGTGAAGGAATCGTCCGGTCCCACTGGAGACACGAGGATCCCTCACCGACGGAACACACTGGCGCCAGCACAGCACCGGATGAGGAACTCGGGAAACAACTTCAAAGTCGCGATTTGACCGCACACACACACATACACACATACACACACACATACACACACACCGCAATGTTGTTGCCCTTCACTCATACACAGGTTGCATCTCTTGTCCACCCCACGCACACACTTTCGAATTTCGAAATCATGCCGACACCACGCCGCAATCGGCGTGCGGTTGTCGGTAGATTTGGCCGAGGAGCCCTAACTAATCGAGTTTAGCGTACATGTAAGTTGTGTAAAATAATGTCCATGCTCACTATGCCAGAAGATGTAACATGTAGTCTTGATGCGCGACCGCTGGCTTCTTTTTCGTCGTGCCATGAATCGGCTTCAGCACGAGACGCGTGGGCTGTGGCGACATTTCGCCGGCTTGCATTGTCTGGCGACGAGGAGTTTCGGACAGGCCTTGCTGCTAGTCGCTATTCAATCTGGACGTGTTCGTGTATTGTGCATGTGAGCGCTGTTTGGCATGTTCCATGTGTGGGCATAGCTGTCAAAAACACCATGACTAGCACTAACGTTTATAATAATTATCTAACTAACGTTCTAGGACGACTAACGTTGGAGCACGGCAGACAGGAAGGAGTGGGATGCGCACACGTCCAGCCCCGTGCTGCCTCGTAGCTGGTGGGCGTCTGAGAAATCCGCCTGATTCTGCTATGGGCACTGGGCTAACATGCGCTTCGTCCTTGACACAAGGCAAGGACAGTGTGTGTGGTGTGTGTGTGTGTGTGTGTGTGTGTGTGTGTGTGTGTGTGTGTGTGTGTGTGTGTGTGTGTGTGTGTGTGTGTGTGTGTAGTGCGGACAGACGGATTTCAGAATGACCGGCGCCAGCAGAGAACTGTCATTATGTTGACAGACTCGTGACAGACGAAGACAAGCAACATGCCACGCACATGTGCCACATGGAATGTTTGTGTGGTAGCGCGTACATGATTGCCTTGATATGCACTGAGCTGAGAGGATTGCGACTACTAACAGTAGTATTAGTAGTAGGCTGGTCAGAGTAAAGACAAGTACAGTGCACAGTGACCCTTCACTCAGTAGTACAACACACATGTATGCCACGGAGTGTTGCTTGGACAGTTCATGCACCCTCGCTAGTACTGCAAGCATGAGTATCACATTCAGTGCCCCGTCCAAACACCAGGGACCTGGGTGGTCCTGTAGCCAGTGTAGGCGAGCCTGATCCGAGCGGATCCAGTATGCTGGCATACATGCAGAGAAGCTTGTTCGGACTATGTGGCAATCCATAGCAGCCAGTGATGCGGGGTGTATACGTAACGTGGTACCACGCATCATGGTGGGGCTTGACATGCCGTCTGTCAAATGCGCGTGGGACAGGCAATTCGATCTCCAACTGGAGCTATAAATTGGAAACACACTCTTCAGGAGGAGTCAGATAATTCGTTAGCAGCCAAGCGAACAATTAGCAAAGCAGAGGATTAAACGGTCTATCCGACAAGGTTGACTTTTCCAAGTTTTCCGAGCATCCTCAGAAGCTAGCAGCAATCATGTGCCGTCTTCCAAACTATCCGTCAAATGATGACTCTTCATTCACTAGTTGTGCGTCCAGTGCTTCTTCAGAGCAGTCAATTTGTACTGGTATTGGTCAGTCGCAGGGAAGT